GCAAACGGCCTTCTTCTAATTAAATGTGCTTGTGTGAGATTTGGAGGGTATAAGTGAGCTGCTTTAAGTGTGGGGCTACTCATGTTGACCCTGAGGTCATGGGTCCTGGGCATGTGGAGGGGTAGTTGCCTTTGTAACCCTGTTTTTCCTAAAAGGCTCAGGTGGTTTTGTTCCACACTGAGCCTCCCCTCATAAGTTCTCCTTAACAAAATCATAGGTGATTCCCATTGTTCTGAACATGGGGCTTAGTTGGGTCTGCCATGTATATCACAGGGTTGAGTGGTTGCAGGAAGGCAGCTGGGACAGTATAGAAAAACCATCAGAACTGCCACAGCCCACACTGAATAGTGCTCAAAGAGCAGAGACCTCCTAACAGACTAAGGACTCTCCTTTATTTAACAAAACCTCTTCCCATAAGCTCGAAGACCTCCCAACCTTGTACTTGGCTGAAAAGGTGGCATCATCACTGCTTTATGAAGAAGAAAAATGTCAAAAATAATAGTTGGCTCTGAATCCACCAGAAATTTAATTTTGAAGAAAAAGTTCAATCAAAAGTGCTGAACCATAGTTAATTTCTATTTATTATTTGCAGATGACGATACTTTTTTACAGAGCCTGTGATGCTAAGAATTCCACTTCCCCTGCCTTTGTTCTGTTTTGGAGAACCCTAGTGTCAGGAGGGAATTGGGGCATCACAAATGATGGGTGTCACCATCAGCAAAGGAAGCATTTCCTCAGATTCACTAGGACACCAACAGACAAAAGACCTAAGAGTAGGGGCCGAGGATTTAGTTCAGTGGTTCCGCCGCCTACATCATAAGAGCAAGGACCCAAGTTCGATCCCCGGTACCAAAAAAAAAAAAAAAAAAAAAAAAAAAAAAAAAAAAAAACTAAGAGTAGACGTGCCTGAGGGAGTGGGGATGATCTGCCTACATCTCTCCTGACATCGCTATAGCCCAGCTAATTCTTCCCCTCCTCAGATGTTTCTTAATGGGGACTAGAGAGTGTTCACGCAGGTCCACCAGAAACAAGAGACCACAGTTCGGAAGCATGTTTTATGGATAAGAACACTGCGGCCCAGAAAAGTATGATTTGCTTAAAGTCATACAATTTTTATATGGCAAATCCAAGGTTCACATCTAATCTTCCCACACGCAGTCAGGTCTAAGATAATCCTACTGCATCACACTTCCTCCAGCACCTCTTGTCCATGCTTTCTGGCTTCAAGAGCTGTCTAGGGCCAGGCATTTAGCTCAGCGGTTCTGGCGCCTGCCTGGCAAGCACAAGAACCCAAGTTCGATCCCTGGTACAAAACAAGAGAACTATCTGAAGTCTCCCTTTCATAGTGATACCTGACCTGACCACCACACACCGATTGCTACTTGCTTAGTAGGTTCCATGCTTTATGAATGCCTGAGCCTCTCACTTTCTTTTTTAATCATTTTCACTCCTTTTCCCCTCTTTTTTTTTTTCTAAATTTAAATTCTGGTAGGTAGACTTCTGTCATTACTGAATATTTTAGAAAATACAGTTGGTACTGACAGACGATTGCTCATAAATATTGATTGAAGCTGTAAATAAGACTTTAATGCTCCCCAATATCCATTCTTCCATTATTCCTTTTATTAATATAATTTCCATCCTTAAGTTTTAGCAGAACATACGACTGCATTATATTTCCAAGCATCCCTTGCAATTAGGTATGGCTACATGACTAAGTTTTAACCAGTGAGATGAGATTAGAAGTAATGTGTGCAGGGCTGGGAATTTAGTTCAGTGGCACCACGCCTGCCTAGCAAGTGTAAAGTCCTAGATCCCCAGGACCAGAAAAAAAAATAGTAATGTGTGCATCTTCCATGTCAATTTCTTAAAAGGAACTTTGCCCTCCCCTTATTCTTTCCCTATGGACTTGGTTGGGGTGGTGAAAGAGCTTTAACAGGTAGAAGAAACCCATGCTCTATATGATGATAAAGCAATCAGATATAAGGAACTAGGGTGCCTGGATAACTTCATGGAGCAGAGCCACCTGCGAATAAGTTAGAGGAGGACACCATGTTGCATTTTATGTGACAGAATTTTGAGCAGCACAGTCACGCAACTCCATTGAAATGTGTTGTCACTATCGATGATTTACAGCACAATTTAAAATCCACTTTCTCATGTGTAATCCCAGCACTAAGGAAGCGAGTTCAAGGCAAGCCTGAACTACAAAGTGAGACCCTGTCTCAAAAAAACCAATAAATAAATAAATAAATAAATCCCACCTTCTCTCAACTGTAGCTCACAACCGACCAACCAACTCTGCTAAAGAAGTTCAAACTTGTCACACAGTGTTACTAAGATTCAAGGGGTCGCATCTCATAATGAACATCCCTGCCTTCCGTTGGATGGTATATAGCAGCAGCATTCACCATATTTTTTATAAAACTGGATATAATATCTGCCAATCTACTCCATGTTGATTTGTGAAAATCCAACTAGTTTATACTTGTACTGCATCTAATAGAGTATTAAGTATAGTTTCAAAATGAAGTATCATTGGACCTAAAAGAGAGAAGGCACTCATGTGTATGTGATCCCTTCCATATAATGTTCAGAACACCTACCATATACAAGGGAAACAGAAAGAGGTTAATGATGTGTTGACACTGAGCATGAACACATCTCATCCCTTCACCCCATCATCCTATCAAGTGTTGTCACTCGCATGTCATGGGTGAGGGAATTAGAACACAGGAGGGTGACTTACCTGGAATGATCAGTGGCCGGTGTAGGTGTAATGTGGAGGGGATCACGAGAGGAGGCAGACCAGGGAAGGCCTTGCGTGCCAGGATAGAGCTGAAATGCTGTCTTTAGGCATAAGGAATCGCAGGTGTTTAAGCAGGAACCATGCAAGCCAACATGAGAGCCAGTGTGAGGAACAGGTGAGAGAAAAGGCAGAGAGCTCCAGCTACTGGAAAAATCCTCTGGACAAGACAGTTGACAAGAGCCTAGACAAAAAGCCGTAGGCAGACACAGCAGATGCCAAAAAGGGAAGATTCCAGGGCCTTGTCTGGATGTGGGGATGTCAACCAGCACTCTGAAATCAGAGCTCCCAGTGAGCAGCCTGTTTGTGGAGTCTCTACAAAACTGGCTGCAATTATCTTTATTCTGTTTTTACTTTCAGTTAAGAAATGACTGGGGGTGGGGGAAGGGTGTGTGTGTTTCCCATGAATTGTAATTAAGATAAAACAACAATTAGAGTCCCAGAGCCTGGCTGCTCCAGCAGCAGCACCACAGGGCCAGTTGGGGCCTCCCTCATTTCAAGTCACCCTCCCACCAGCACACGAAAAAGAGATGCAAGCACCGTGTGCCTCTCTCCACTTGTCAGTAATGCAGGGTGGCTGGATTCTGGATTATAATGTGCTGCAGGGGAAATGGCTGAGCTCCCTAGCAAACAACTGTGGCAATAGTAAGAGCTCTAAGGAAAACCCCCAGAGCAGATTTCATTGGAGGGAGGAGGCAAAGGGCCTGAGTAGCGATGGAAAGCCCTTTGAGCCATCTTCTACCCTCTCACCCTGACACACATGGAAGTTTCTCTTTCAGGACTGTTGTAGCCTCTTTTTCCTTTCAACCACCAACCACTCAATTCTTGGAGGGAAAATTAACATTCATTATGCAATTTATCTCTCTCCTTTTAATCCAGAGTGTCTGTCTCCAAGGTCCCTACTCAATAATTAATGTTTGTTCTCATTTTCCATTCTCCAGAGCATCTATTCTTGAACTGTGGGGTCAACACTTAACACTAATTATGGCTTTTTCTGCCTCTGCTGTTGGCTTTCAGAATCCCAGGATGCCTGTGTAGCCTCTGGTAGGCGTGTGTGTGCGTGTGCGTGTGCGTGTACACAAGCACTGCCACCTCAAAATAGGCTTTTCCCAGCCCCATGCAGCTCAGCAAATCAATAAAACCCAGTCTTTTTGGCAAATTCTCTATTATATCTATTATCAGTAATGAGACAATGAGGCAAAAAAGAAAGAAAGAAATGAAAGTGTTTGGATAGGTAATTAGCCTAGATCTAAATCTTTTCTGTTTGAATTTTCCAGGATTCTGGTGATTTTCTCCCCTATTCTCATTGTCTTTCTCCCTCTTTCCCTTTTCTCCTCTCTCTCTCTCTCTCTCTCTCTCTCTCTCTCTCTCTCTCTCTCTCTCTCTCCTTCCTCCCATACATCAAATTTCCCTTTAAGCCACTCTCTATCCACTCCTTGACCTCTTCACTGTTACCTTTTCCTGAACTGTCTGTCTCAGATTTGTTACCCTTCTCTTCATCATTAAAATGGCATTGCTTTAACTTGTGTTCATTTCCATTGACAAGGACAGCTAGGAGAATATTTCTCACACCTGGTAACTCTAACAGAGCACAAAACATTTCATTGGGAGCTGTGTACAAGCTTGTCTGTCGTTCTGGCTGGAATCAGATGGCCTAAGATCTCTCTTGGCTGCATGGTTTGAGCCACCTTTCCTTGTCTGTCAGCCCGGTGGCTGCAATACTCATGCCCCACAAAGTACATCCGTTTGTTATATCTGGGACTCTCTTCCCAGCACATGTCAAACATTAACTGTTTCATGCTCTTGCTCTGTCAAAGTCCACCTTTTAGATTTGTGGGACCATGGGTCCTGTAGGGTTTTGCCTTAAGCATCTTAGATAAAAAACAATACTTTTCTTATTGGTCTTTTAAGTCTTCTCTCCATAATCCAACTATAGAGTCTCAAAATCATCGAATTTATTGTGAATCCTTTTCCTTAATTTTCATTTTTATTGCTACTCATTTGCAGTACATAATGATAACATTCACTGTGGAGAGTACACTGTGCTTAGTTCATCTCTGTACATTCCCTTCCTCTCCCCTCCCTCCCTCCTCTAGAAGAACCCACTTTGTATTCTCCCCAGTCCAGGGAGAAGGAAATGGATTCTTTTTTTAATTTTTCTTACTATTAGGTAAAATCACTTTTTGTTTTTCAGTCTATGAATCTGCCCATTCAAATATCATCCATGGAGAAGAAGGGTCTGATATTCAGCATCTTCTAAAATGTAAGCTTTTCTCTAAACAGTTACCGAGACTTCTTTTCTATATCCTTTGAAACATAGACACATTTCATGCCTGGGCCTCCAGAAATACACAGCGTGTCCCGAAGGAAGTAGGGAATGGGGTGTGCTTCAGGACAAGCCTGAGAAATGCAGAGTCTTCATGAGTTACTCCTAGGCAGCTCCACAGGCTCTGAGAATAAATATTAGGGAAGTCAGCTTGGACCAAATACTCACACTTAGCTAGCCAAGGAAGGACAATTTGCAGAGTTGACCTGTGGTTCCAGACTCTGCCCTGCATGGTTTCCATAAGAATGAAGTGGGCACTGCCCCCTAGAGTTGTGCACTGCCTCAGCCTCACAGCCACAAACTAGAAAGCTCTCTGGAAAAGACCTCCTGGCTCTTATTTCAAGTGAAGGACTGAGGTCGGTTCTGCCTCTTCCAAGATTCCTTCTAGGTTTCATTTTTCCTACAGAGATGTGCATACAGCAAACCTGTAGCTCATCTTTCACCCACAGACTTGGCTGTTCCTGCTTCAGACTAGGGAGAAAGGGTGATTAGGGAGAGGCTCTCTTTCTCTCCTAAAAAGCAGTCTTTGATTAACAGGGAAATGTGTGTGGTCCTCTTTGCTATTCATTTGGGAGGCAGCTATGAATCCTACTTGTGGGACCTGCCCTAGTAACAGGAAGCAACAGAGAGGGCTGGAGCCAGCGCTGGGTGGAGGGAATTGCTTTTGCCAGAGATTGCAAAAGTAGGAGAAAGGGCACAATGACATCCTTGGCAGTCTCAAAATTTGTAAGCAGAGAAATGCCCGCAAGTCTGGCCTTCTGCATTACCCTCTTGCCATCTTCCTTGGACAGAAGTCCTGGCCTCAGCAGGAAGAGTTTCAGGGTCAGTTTGCTCATTTTCACACATCAGTTTGAACTAGGACAGGGTAGGTTTGGATGTTTGTTGGTTGGTTGGTTTTTATTTGTTTTGTGGTGCTGGGGATCAAATCACAGAGCAGCTTTCTCGTGAAGATGGTGGTGGTGATGATCATGATAGTGTGACGGGGGTGGTAAGGGTGGTGATAACTACTGTTGAATATCTCTGATATGCCATACACCGTACTGAGTGTTTTACATTCATTAATTTACTTCATCCTCACAGCAATGATATAATTACCTTCACTTCTCAAATAGGATGGTGTGAGTCAGCAAGGTCAAGTGACTTGCCCAAAGTCACACAAATAGAACTCAGATTCTAGCTGCTTTTTTCCTGCTGTGTGTGGTTACTAGTGGTGTCAACATAAACAGGCACATTTCTATCAGACATTGTATGACTTAATAATGATCCCTCCCAAGAAGCGGCATCTGTTGAACATTCATTTCCCCCTCCAGTTCCCATTACTCAGCATCAGATACTCTCTTGTGGGTAATACTGAAAATGATTTGTAACTTTCAGCAATATTTTGGGGAGAAGAGGAAACACTGAAAAAGAGTTTGTGGCAAACTCTTGTTTGAAACAAATTTTCAAGCAAAATAAGCCTGCTTTACAGGGTAGCTCTTTAAACTAAAAAATGTTCTTCTTAATACAACCAAAAATGTTACAATCTCACTTCATTCTACTATTAAAGTCTCACCCTCAAAAGACTAACTTTGTAGTAGGAGGATAAAATACTGACACTTCTGAAATTCTGAGAAATTCCTGCAGTCTATTATACTTTAGTAAAAATTTAATCAGTTAGCTTTCTTCTTGCAACCTAGCTGCTCTCTGAAGGACAAAAATTCTGATAGGGGTGGAAACACAGGTGAGTAATTTGGAAATAAGTAGCTTTGGTGTTTTGTTTGGTTTGGTTTGGTTTGGTACCGGGGATTGAACTCAGGACCTTGCACTTGCAAGGCAGGCTGTGGAACCACTGAGCTAAATACCCAGCCCTGGAAAGAAGTAGTTTTAAGGTTGAAACATGCCTGACTGGTGGAGGGCCCCATCGGGCTTTGAGGAACAGAAGAATGTTAGCATATGAGAAGTGGATACAAGAAGGAAGAAAATACAGAAATCGAAATGATGGGCACCAGAGACAAACTTAGCCAATCACAGCATCACCCCATGGCAAGCTCTACATCCAGAAAGGGAAAGGAAATTTTATTTTTTATTATCTTCCTAATAGCTAAAAGATTTTAGCCTAGCACACATCTCTTTATTTCCAAACATTTGTGCGGTTCTTTTTTTTGTTGCAGTAGTAAGGGTTGGACCCAGAGTCTTTGTACTGAGCTATATCCCCAACTCTATTGTTGTTTGTTTGTTCGTTTGTTTTTTGAGATTTAACCTCACTAAGCTGCACAGGCTGGACTCAAACTTGTGATCCTCCTGCCTCAGCCTCCCATTGTAGCTTTTAAATATATCATTCCCTCTGCCTAAAGCACAATCCTTATCTCCTCCTGTCCAATTTTTTAAATTGCGGTAAATATATCTAACATAAAATATATCATCTGAACCCTTTCTAATGGTGCAGTACACCCACAGCACTGTGCTTCCAAGCTGGAGAACTCTTTTCGTCTTGCAAAACTGAAACTCTGTTCCCCCTTCTCATCTCCCCTAGCCCCTGGCACCCACCACTCTGTGTTCGTCTCTCATTTTGTACCCGTCTCCCTGGTTAACTCCTATTACTTAGCAGCCCCAGTCCAAGTTTAGCTCTAGGGTGAGCTCCCCCTCCCGGCCAGGCTTCTGCTCTCCTGTCCCCTCCCTCACCTGCTTCCCCCTCCTTAGGTAGCGCGTCAGGCCCCTCAGCACACTACACCTAGCACTACTCTTGATGGCATCTCTCTCAGGCTATGAGATTACAAGCTTCTCTGTTTGTGTGTGTATTTCAAGACAGTCTCACTATGTTACTCGGGCTGTCCTTGAATTTGTGATGATCCTGCCTCAGCCTCTGGAGTGCTGGGATTACATATGTGCAGCATCATACCCAGCTTAGATTGCGAGCTTTCCAAGGGCAGGGGTACACTGGCATCCCAATAGCTGGCACCATGCTGCTACCACACACTGCCCATGATTGGCACCCCGTGCTGCCTGAAAGAGTTCAGCTTCCATCGGGGTTAAGCAGGCTTTTTTTCAGGTTGACTTGAGAGCCTGTTCACCATGTGGAACGTGTCTCTCCTGGAAAATGCATCCTAAGGACTGCCCATACACAAGCACTGATGGCCTCTCGCAAGGCCCAGAGTATAAGAACCTTATTTGTTCCTTTGATTTGCTTGATGACCTTAACAAAACAGTCCTTACATCTCTCTGTGTGGAACATTCCCCATTCATTTTTAAGAGAATTGATATAGCAGTGATATGAAAATGCCTGACACTCCCTGGAGTTGAGTTCAAAGAGCAACTTAAAACATCTACTCCTTGGAGTCACCTCAAGAGCTGTTGCCATTTCTTGTTTTCTTTCTGGTCATTTTGTTTTAGTGAATATTAAGTACATGATGGACTTTAGGTATTTGTAAGCATGAAAGTGAGTTTCGACTACTTGCAAATGACTTATAAAGTCAGGGACACATGAGATTTGTCATTTTACAGAGGCATGAGGTCAGTGTCATAAACTTGCAATGCGAGGAGACAGAAAACCGTTGCTAAAGTAGTGACTGAGCCGAGCCAGCCTCCCAGCACCCCGTGGCTCAGTGCTGTGCTCTGTGTTCATGGCACCACCTGCAACAGCTCTTGTGCAGCTAGCTATAGTCTATAAAGAAGCACTGCAGGTCATATGTATGTACACACATGTACATGTACATGTGTACCCGTGTGCATGTGTGCACACACCTACACACTTATACACACATGTTCACATGTACGTATGCACCTGCGCACGCGCACACACACACACACACATGCATACAAATATACATATGCATACACATACGCTTTTTTTTTTTTTTTTTTTTTT